CCAGGCCTCCTCGGCGGGGCCTGGGTGTCCGAGCAGACGGGGTCGGCTGATTGTGTCGCATCGCGGATGCATCGGCGATGCGGCTCGGTGAGCAACCCGATCTTCCCCACGCCGACGTCGCCGATGCATCGGTGATGAATTGGCGATGCGTTTTCGAGGTGGTGCGATCCTCCGACCCCATCTGCTCGGACGCACTTTCGGGAGGCCTCCAATACGGTAGGTTTGTGTTGTTTCGTCGCGTCGACGCGGCGCGACCCTGACACAGGCGTTCAAGGTTGAACGCCGCCCTGTGGCCCAGAACCAGCCGATATCGAACAATCTGCGTTGTCGGGAAGCCGCGACCGCTCAGGCTTCAAAGATCCACGCGGTGTCATAAACCACCTCCTCCTTTTCTCCTCCTCCTCCTCCTCCTCCTCCTCCTCCTCCTCCTCCTCCTACGCCGAAGTCGTCACGACATCAGCCTGCATCACGCCGCCACTGGGCCTCCACATGTCCCCTTGGGGCCAGTGCGTCTGTGTATAGTTATGGCCTCCGAGCCTGGCCGGGAGGCGATGCACACCAAGGCCTGGCCCCAAGCGGACTTGTGGAGGCATGTCGGTGGTGCAGATCGGAGATCATAACCTGGACATGATCGCGCCGTAAAGAATTCAGGACGGGAGGCTTTTGGCCAGTTCCGGCCTCGAAGGGCCCTCGCCAGGCCTCGGGGCCGTCCGCAAACGACTCGGGATGAAACGCCGGACCCGCCGGGGAGAGGGCCGGGACCTCCAGGGACCCCGTATGGCAACAAAGTCGGGACGTCGCACGTCTGGGCAGACGAGGGCACAGGCGCGGACTTCTCGGAGGTCCGCACGGACATCCTGGGGGTCGGCGCTGTGGCCGCCCCTGGCAGCGCCTCCGGCGACGGTCGCGCCGGGAGGGGGCGCTCCGGCGCCGCCCCCTGCAGTCCGCGAGGGCCTCCGACGGGCCAGTGCTTCTGCCGCTCCCCTGTGCTCCCCCCGTGGTGCTGCCCCCGCGCCCCCCAGGCTCGCGACGCTGCCCTCGGGGCGCAGCCCCTTCCCCGTCCCGCGGCGGTGCGAGTTCCACCGCACGATTGGCCAGAAGCTCCCGGAGCTGTGGCCGGACTTCTCGGACAGGGCCTTGCACCAGGGGCGCGCCGGGGCGGATTCCAACCTGCTCGCGTACCACGGCGACGATCCCCACGATCAGGACCCTGGCCTCCTCCTCCTCCTTCTTTTCCTCCTCTTCCTCCCCAATTCTTTCTCCATCCTCCTCCCGCCTCCCTCCCTCCTCCTCCTCCTCGTCGTCCTCCTCCTCCTCCTCCTCCTCCTCCTCGTCCCTCGTCCCTCCTCCCTCGTCCCTCCTCCCTCCTCCCTCCTCCCTCCTCCCTCCCTCCTCCCTCCTTCCTCCTCCCTCCTCCCTTCTCTCTCCTCCCTCCTCCCTCCTTCCTCCTCCTCCTGCTCCTGCTCTTCCGTAGCCGTTTTGGCTCAAGGCATCCATGTTTCCCAGTGGCAACGTGGATACCGGTAGTCTGCGGTCAGACCATTGTGCGCGCCGTCCGCGGTGGCATGCCCGATGATCTTGGAGTGGTCAAGCGCCCGGGCAAGGGTTCCAATTCTGGCACACGGAAGAAGAAGAAGAAGGCGCGTGGCAAAGCTGGCGACGCCCTTCCTGCTGGTGACCTCCACGATGCCGATGGCTTCTCTGGCGGGTCTGCTCCTGGCGAGCCTGGTTCTGCTGCTCGTGGGGCCAGCGATGTTGCCTGTGAGGTTGCTGAGATGGAGAGCGACGCCGAAGAAGCCCTGTGATGAGTACCTCCGCCGTCCTGCTGCAGAGGAGCCGAGACCCAGGATGGCCCAGCACCGCGGCGAGCTCGTCCGCGACCTCACGGCCGTCGTCCCCGCTGCGGTCTTGGAACGGGTGCGGGCCTTCGCTTCGCAGCTTGCGAATCATACGGCTGCAGCTGCGAGGCTGCTGGAAGGAGCCGGGTCCTCTACGAAAGATGGCAAGGGACGCTCCAAAGCATTTTTGCTCCGAGAAGCTCGATGTCTTCCAGTGTCTGTTCAGGAACAACCCTGATGGACAGACAGTTCGGTTGCGCTCCTGCGAGACGAGGCTCGACGATCACTACACCATTCTCAACGCGTTGCGGGATCAGATCAAGGAATTGCGCACCCCCCTGGCCCTGGACAGCACCCAGCCCAAGCAGCTGCCAGCCAGTACCGTGTGCTTTGAGAGAGGGAGGTCGACTGACTCCATGATCATCCGCGTCATGGCAGTCAAATTGGTCAAGTTCGACGCTGTCAAACAGGCACTCTCCGACTGGATCGTCGAGACGGCATCGAAGCACAGTATTTCAACATCGCCTCCGCGGAGGACGTCGGCCGCCATTTCACTGCTCAGCGCACCAGTGCTGCGGCTCCCGCGGCCCGTCAAGATACTTTCCGCCCAGCGCATAGCCCCCCCGTCCAGTGGAAGCGCTTCGCGGTTGTGGCTGCTGACAGGCAGGCTGCTTCACTCCACTCCTCGACGCTGCTGCTCTCGGGCAGGCCTTCGAGATGGCGGACAGCTTCGATAGCGCAGATCTGTTCATATCTGATGAGGAGGAGGCGGCGCTGCCCTGTAGCTGCACGGTGCGGGATTCCCTTGGTGCCCCTGTCTCTTCTGCCATCATGGTTGGCATGATCCACTCGGGCGCTCTGGTTGACGACTCGCGGCCTCCCGCGCTGGGCTTTCCTTGCGGCGATTCGTGTACGGTGACTGTCCCTGGTGGTCTCCGCCTTGGCTCAGCGGACGACCCAGTGTGCGACTGCTCACCACAACTACCTCGTGTTGATGATCGGATTCCTTGTCTTGGTGCTGCTTCAAATCCCGTGGAAGCCCCCTGGGCGCGGGGCTCCGCAGGTTCTGCGTCGCCACGTTGTGCTGGTCTTTGCCCCAAGGGGGCGCCTCTGAGGAGCTGCGGTGGGATGACAGCCGCGCAGTCCAGCCAGGCACTTGTATGGGATCGCGGGATCGTCGTTCAAGTTGCTGCCTTGTGATGATGGCCTGCTTCGCTGCCAAAAAATGTTGGCTTCGCAGTTCGCACGATTGCAAGAGAAACCGATGATATACGTCCCGCCGCGAGATGCGCCCGCGCCAGATGCTCTGCGTGGGCGGCCAGATCCGCCCGCGCAAAAAAAAAAGGCCTGGCTGCGGCGTCACGACAAGGAGAGCGGAGACTTGCGCGGGCTCCTGCCGGTCGCCGAGGGCATGCCCGTGGCCCTGACAGACCGCATCGACCGCCACGAGGATCGGTATCTGCTGCGTGGACGCGCGGGCTACGTGCACTCGTGAGTATGCGACGGGGGCGGTGAGCATGTTCTCCTGGCGCGCGGGGGCGAGGCGGTCCCGCGGAAGATTCCGAAAGTTGTTTTCGCCCAGTTCGACGAAAGGGGGCGACTGGCAAGGTGGTCGTGCCCCCTGCGAGTGGAAGCTCAACGAACTTACCGCTCGAGGCTTGCACCTGGTGGCCCCCCAGTCCAAATAATGGTACGTGGATGAGGGCCGCGCGTGTCCGCGCCTGAGAGTAAGGCAGCGGCAGCCCCCCCTGGCGCCCGCCTTTGTAGTCGCAGCCCGCGCAGCGCAAAGGCAGACGTGCAAACGAAGTGTCATCGTTGACCTCGGCGTCGGTGGGGGCGCGTCGCCCTTGTCGAGCTACGTGGCGCTGGCGCGAGTTTAGCCGCGCGGGGGCATGCATATTTTCGCCCCTTTGACATGGCGCCGTATCAGAAGAGAGGTGGGCGCAGGTGTCCGGACTTGCTCCTGCGGGCGCTGCGCGGAAACGACTTCGATTGGGGCGCGATCGAGATGGAGTTCATGCAATCCGGGCGGCACGCTGTCTGCGACTGCGCGAAGTGCGCGGGCGAGTGCCCGCTCGGGCAGTGGGGCCGAGATGGCGGTCTCCGCGAGTCTCCGTGTGCGCGGCCTTTCTGGATGGTAAGAACAGCGTGGGCACGCCGCGGCAGCGCATGGAGTGCTGGCGGCATCGTGCTCCCAGTCATTGCGCGGCGCTTCAATGTGCGCCCGGCCCGTGCTGGGTGCCGCTTGATCTTCGTGTCCGCTTTCTCTGTCATGCTGGCCGTGGTTTTGTGCATCTCCGCCCGGCGGCTGCTCTGCCCGCGATCAACCCATGGACTGCGAGATCGCCTCGCAATGCGGAGGGCGCGGCGTGGACATGGGCCCAAGTGGCTTCTGTTCGGTTCCGTCTTCCAGTGCGTCGCCGCCGCGGTCTTCGCTGTCTACCCCGCTCCACCGTCTTCGCGAGCTTGGTGCTCCGAGGGCTTCCTCCCTGGCGGAGGCAAGCGCTGGGGCCGAGGCTGCGCTGGCGACAGCTGACTCCGCTGGGAAGCAGCGCCCAGTGCAGTATGATGACGACGCCATGTCGGGCGAGGAGCGCGACTGCCGCTTGGATTCTGCCCCCGACGGTGGGGCGCCGCAGTCGGATAGGCTTTCTGCTTCGTCGCGGCCTGCAGGGAGCTCAACAGACACTGCGCCTCTGTGGCATGTGGCTTGTATCCCGGATTTCAGCCCATTTCAGTTGTCCCAGCGGGCCCCCTTGCGCGACCCGCCCTCGCCCAGCACTGGGGGTCGGCCTCTCCGGTTCGCCCGACGGAAGTCCTTCCATTCTTATTCTTGGCTCGGCTCGGATGGCGCGGTCTTTCCCCTGGCTTAATTCCTTGCGATGACGTGCCTTGCCCTGCAGAAGCGGATCATGATGTTGCTCGACCTCATCTTTGATACAGAAGAGGTCTCCGTCGATCATGCTCGTGGCCCTGTTGCTGCTGAGCGCTTCCCTAGACTCCACGATCGCGCAGATGAGAGGGGGTATCACGAGTTGGAGTACAACAGCAGTGCTCCGCAGTCTGATATATATGATTTTATGACGGGTGTGGATCTTGCTGCATTGTCTGCGTCATCAAATGGTGGCGATGCGGCCTTGGTCGACTCTACCCACGCTCGTGGAGAGGTTGCCAGCACCAATCTTCATGGTGATGCGCAGGCAGGAGTTGGCACCCCTGATCTGGTTGATCTGTCGGACAAGCCCCCTTACGCCACCTTTTCCCGAACTCCTCGTGTGCGGCTCTACCGGGTGCGCATCAGGGCGACATCATCATCATCTACAATGAATGATGATCGCTGTGGCGGACGAAGATGACGCGTCGTTTCGCATCATGATGATGGACGTACCCGCTGAACTTTTGAATCAGATTCGCTCGTTAGATCGCCGGGAGCTTGCCGAGGTGGCGGCGGAGGAAGAGGCGCAATACTCTTTCGTTGCTGCGCTTGCTGGTGCCCATGTTCTTCCTCCTGGTGGTGTCATCGCTCACGGGCCTGCTGTGGACATGGGCGAGCCGACCTTCTTCACTGACGGCACCGCCGTCGCCAACGCTGCCCACGCGGGAGTCGGTTTCCACCACGACAACTTCGAGGCGTATGTCAGACCAGGTCCTGCGGGGGCCGCGGGGGCGGGCTGAATGGGGGCCCTCTTTGGGGCGCGGGCTCCTCCCTCTGCCTTCCGCCCTTCTCCTTTCTCCCTCTCTCTCCTCCTCCCTCCTTCTTGCTCCCTCCTTCCTCCTCCCTTTTCGTCCTCGTCCAGCTCCTCCTTCTCCTCCTTCCTCCTTCTTCTTCTTCTCCTCCTCCTCCTCCTCCTCCTCCTCCTCCTCCTCCTCCTCCTCCCTCCTCCTCCTCCTCCTCCTCCTCCTCCTCCTCCCCTCCCTCCTCCTCCTCCTCCTCCTCCTCCTCCTCCTCCTCCTCCTCCTCCTCCTCCTCCTCCTCCTCCTCCTCCTCCTCCCTCCTCCCTCCCCCTCCTCCCTCCTCCTCCTCCCCCCCCTCCCCCTTCCATCCTCCATCCTCTTTTCTCCCTCCTCCCTCTCTCCCCCCTCCGTCCCTCATCCCTTTTCCCTCCTCCGTTCTCCCTCCTGCTTCCTCCCTTGTTCATCCTCGCTGCTCCGTTCTCCCGCCTCCTCTTTCCTCCTTCACCGTCGTCCTCGGCCTCGTTGTTGTCCTCATCCTCGTCGTTGTCGTCGTCGTTCTCCTCTTCCTCTGGATCCCTCCTCCTCCTTCTCCTTCTCGTCCTCCTCCTCCTCATCCTCCTCCTCCTCCTCCTCCTACCCTTCCTCCTCCTCCTGCTCCTTCTCCTCCTCCTCCTCCTCTTCCTTTTTCTCCTCCTCCTCCTCCTTCTGCTCCTCTCCGCCCTCACGAACAGGACCTGGGCTTCACGCATAAGTCGGCGGGCCTGCGGGCGGTTGGGTCGATGGCCGTGAAGTCCAAGCCACCGCCAGCAGCGCCGAGGCCTGGCAGTGTGGTCTTCGTGGGTTACGCCGAGTTCGACATGGACGGCCGCACCTTCACAGCTGGCGAGATGGACAGGCTCATGATGCACTCCGCGGTCTCGAAGTACCCGTGCGCGAGGCCCGCAGAGAAGAGCATGAGCACACACTTCTTGTGCGCACGCCGGCGGTGCAGGTAGCAGTTCGACCGATCAAGAGGATGGATCAGCGAGTAAGTACGCAAACGAATGTCGCCAAGCAGCAGCACGAGCACACACGTACACACAAACACGAACACAAACACAAACAGATACACACACGAACAACACCATACGCATATATACGTATATATACGTATATATACATATATATACGCATACAAACACACGCACACACGCACCCACAAGCACAAACACAAGCACACACACCAACACAAACACAAGCACACACACAACCACACACAATCACAAACGCAAACGCAACACACAACACACAATATACAACACACAACCCACAACCCACAAACCACAACACACAACATACAATACACAACACACAACACACAACACACAACACACAACACATGACACACACAAACACAAACACATCACAAACACAAACACAATCACAAGCACAATCACAATCACGAACACACACACACACACAACAACAAGCTCACACTCAAACACACAAACGCAAGCACACACAACACACAATCACAATCACAAACACAAACACAAGTACAAACACGAGCACGAACACAAACACGAACACGAACACGAACGCAAACACACACAAACACAGACACAAACACAATCACACGCATAGATACACAAGCACACACACAAACACAAATACACACAGATGGGGCGCTGCAGCAATAGCTTCGCCCTGGAGGGATCGATGCAGTTGGCATCTTTTCCCGGGCGGAAGGTCGGCGGATAGCGGCGGAAATGAGTATCGGTTCTTCAAGATATCGGGGGCGGCAAAGAGGGGGGTGATGACTGGGGGGGGGTGGATGTCATGGCGGGGGCCATGATATTTCCCCAGATTTCATGGCGCCCCTTCTTATTTCATTACGTTCCTGGCCCCCCCGCTGGGCCGCGTACACGCCGCCAGTCATGATTTGTTTCCCCCTCTTGGACACTCCCCTCTTGACCGCTCCCGAAGATATGCATCCGGACATACTTTT